TGATCCTCCTATCTCAGTATGCTGAGTAGCTGAGTAATTGCATTCTTAGTAGCTGCATAGTACTCCACTAATGGAGTACTGGTTTGTTTACTGGTTTTTGCAATTAGAAGCAATGCTTTAGTGATCATCTTGAGTATATATTTTTGAATATTTATGCTAATATTTCTAGATAGAATTAGGATTGTTGGGCTATGGTTATGTTATATAAAAAATGTTAAGAGATACTGCCAAATAGCCCTACTGAAGGCCTTTTAGCTAACTTACTCTTCTACCAACAGATTTGAAAAGATACAACATTTTTATTTCTTTTCAGTGCTGGGGGTAGCACCCAGGACCTCATGCATGCTGGGCAAGTGTTCTACCACTGAGCTATAACCCAGCATAAGAGAGTACAATCTTTTAAGGCAAGCTCTCATTGAGAGTGGGGACTCTGTTATGCATAGTTGGGAATTTGACTTCTCATTGTATTGCATTTATCTATAATGACCATACAGGTGCTAAGTCTTCTCTCCCTTAGAATATTTTAAGTTCTTTGGAGGCTGGGGTCATATACTTCTTTGGAATTTCCCATAATGCCTAGTACAGGCTGGGCAAACTGTGGGTGCTCAATACATACTTGATGATTGACTGATAAACCTGTTTACATTTTAGGGCTACACAAATGTTTTGAGGTCAGCTCTTGGAATGAGAGGGCAGAGCAGAGTCAGAGTACCAAGTCAGTATCAGATGCTCTCACTTGGACATCAAACACCTAGCACAATCCCTGGCTACCAAAGGTCCTTAACAAATGGTCTCTATTGTTGTTATGATTCTTATTTAATGAGAAGGCAGTGTTAGGGAGAGTGTTGAGGGTTCACACATAGCATGAATCATTTCAAGTGGAGTTAGAAATACACAATCCAGAGATGAAACCAAACTGAGAGCCAGCAGGAATAGCCAGGCATTAGAGGTAGAAACAGAGGTTCAGTTTCTGGAACCTATAAGAGAGGTTCAGTTGCATTGTGATAAATACTTTCTTTTTTACCCCCGGCAGTTTTTATTGGTCTTTTTTTTGGTGGTGGTGGTATTGGGGTTTGAACTCAGGGCCTCACACTTGCTAGGCAGGTGCTTTATCACTTGAGCCATTCTGCTAGTCCTGTTTTGTGTTGCGTATGTTCGAGATAGGGTCTTATAAACTATTTGCCTGGGCTGGCTTTGAACTGTGATCCTCCTGATTTCTGCCTCCCTAGTAGCTAGGATTATAGGCGTGAGCCCCTGCATCTGGCTTTATTGCCCTTTATATGTTTGTTTTTCATGTGCAGGGCATCTTAAAGGTGCTGCTTTTCTCAGAGAGGAGCCAACAATCCCAGTATATTGCTGTGAATGCAGGGGGTGCTTAATGAAAACAGTTCTACTTATCTCTCACCTGTTGAAATAGACAATGTGGCAGCAATGTTGAGGGTTCATTGAGAAGATGGTGCTAAAGAACAGCCACCTCATTGGAACAAGTTTACTGCGCAAGTTTTTCCTAAGCAGAGGGTGAGGTGAGAGTCTGGGAAGCCAAGTAGTCAGTCAAATAAGGACTAAATTCAGTGATGAATTTAGGGGCTGTGAAAACATGGTGGCACATGTGTGACATGGGCTCTACAAAGGAAAGAATGAGTGTCATTCTTCTTACCTTTGTATCCTCAATCAAGAGCATGGGTGTAGGAGGAAGGTAGGAGATGGCAGTTCCATAGGCCCTACTGTCACATTCAGCATTGGTGTATTTCTCCTACATGCAGACATTTAGCATACATTTTCTCTAATGCCCTTTAAGATTGTGAAATAGGTTCAGTAGTTCCTTGGTATCCACAGGGGATTGGTTCCAGGACTCCCACAGATATGCAAATCCATTGATGCTGAAGTCTCTCATGTAAAATGTAGTAGTATTTTCACGTGACCTATGCACATCCTCCCATAGACTTTAAATCATCTCTAGATTACTTATAATAGTAAATACAATGGTAATGCTATGCAAATAGTTGTTATACTGCATAGTTTGGGGAATAATGACAAGAAAAAGTCTGCACATGTTCAGTACAAGTGCATTTTTTCCCTGGATATTTTCAATTTGCAGTTGGTTGATATGGAGGGCTATATGTATTAACGTTTTTTTTCACAGATGAGAAAAGAAGCACAGAATGGATAAATTACTTGCCAAATATAGCAAAAGTATTAAGTGGCAGAACCAGGACTTGAACCTAGGTCTGTCTGGCCAGAAGACTTAGGCTCATTCCATGCTGCATACCATACTGCCTCTTCTATGTCAGCAATAGCATCCTAGGCCTCAGAGAAACAGATGTTGCTTAAGAATAATAGTTGGTCATGTATGGGCAGGACATTCCATGGTTTGTTTGCTCAATTCATTCTGCAACTACATACTTTATCTATTTGTAGCAGGAAGTCAGGAGAAGAGTGTAAGTCAGGTAGGTGGGGTGGGAAGGGGCATGTGTATGGGGGGGCAAGGGAACGTGGGAGGGTTGAGGCTAGAACAAATAGAGAAAGAAGGAGCCATTAGGAGCTCAAATTCAGGGTAGAGGCTGAGTTTGTGTGTCTGTTCTTGACTGTGGTACTAAAGATCTTTGGAGCGACACTAACAGACAAGCTCCAACCCAGTGGTGGTACTCAGGATCTACGACTTTGAACCACACTTCACACACATACACACACACCACAAACATGGAGACAGATTCTTAATCAAGCCCATCAGAATATATACCACTACACCATGATCTGTCTTATGAAATGGAAGGTTACCCCTTCATTCTAGTGGTGTTTCTCATGCTCATTGCATGACTGTAATTCCCCTTCAAAAGAGCCAACATTAAGTTAGATACCTACAGTAGGAAGTTTGTTGAAAAGAGAAAAGAAAAATGATCTCAGTTTTTAGTCACAGTTTAGTTGTGTGTGCCTACTGAGACTTTAAGCATTAAAAAATGATTTGATTATATAGAAGGAAGTGCTATGGAATGTTTGTCCATATAAAATTTCCTTAATTTTCTTTTGGTACTGAGCACAACTAATAACAGATTGTAATAAAACAAGCCTGATTTACATAGCCACTTAATGCCAAAGGGAATGTGACCCAGAGCAGGGAGGGGCAGAGCTCAGCAATGTGTTGCCATGATACATCAATCCCAGGATTTCCCAGGCTTTGCCAGTACCTGAGCTATGAACAAAGTATGTTTGGGTGCCATGGAGGCTTAGTTTTGACTGCCCCACACTCAGAAGAATGGCAGCTGGGCTGACCATGGTATCCCTAAGGATGTGTGATATACACAGGCTTGGGAATCCAGAGGGCTGATCTGGCTGAGGGGCATTCCTCTCTCTTCCATGCCAAGTGTGTTCAATATCAGGACCCTTCAGAATTCAAATGGATGGATTGAAGGCAGTAATACTGGTCATATGCTTCGTAAATAATAAACCGATTATTATAATCAGCATGAGTGCTCAGGAACTATAGAAGCTTTATAAAGACATACTTTTGTCTACAAATTAATTATAAAACATATCATAAAACAATTAGGTTGTAATTTTCAAATCCTTCAAAATTTTTGATTTAAAGGTACCATGAAAGTGTCAAATGTAATTATAATTATGTAGCTTTTTGTTTCATATTGTATGGGACCCAACTACTGTAAAGGAGAACTAGTTCGTAACCATGTACATTATGAACATACAGGGTTCATATTAAAACTAACAAAACAACTGCCTCAGGAAGAGCTTTGGCAGTTTCTTTTTGTGCTAATTTCAAATATACTCACCCTAAGAAAACTTTTGTCAAGCTCAGGAAAACCTACAAGCTAGTAACGTAGACACACTCTCTCAATAGCATGGCAGGTAAGAAAAGGTCACCTTCAGTCTTTTGTCATATTATGTGGAAGGCCAGAGTCATACTGGTGGAAACAGACAGTGCCTTATAAAAGTCCACCCTATAATATAATCCTTGGTTCCCAACTGTTTTCCTCAAACTTTTTTTTCTTTTTTCTTTTTTTTTTTTTTTAGCAGCGCTGGGATTTAAACTCAGGACTCAGGGCCTTGTGCTCACTAGGCAGGTACTCTACCACTTTAGCCATACCCCTAGCCCCATTCTCAAACTTCTAAAGGATGTGACTCATGATAGCAGTGGCTCATGGTGGCACAAACTGCAGAGGGGAGTGGCAGAAGAAAGAATCTAGTTGGTGGGTGGAAATTCTGCCTTAGCTCCCCCCTTAATTTTCATAGCTCTCCAATTCTAATAGAGATTTACAACTTTTATCGCAATCTTTACTTCATTTTCTACCTTGTAAGAATTTATGTCATCTCAGTTTTTCCCAACTCTCTTAATGTCAATTACTTGCTTTTGATGCTGCAAAAATGGTTCTATGTTCTTGGGGATAGTTATCACTTTCAACTTCCTTTTTATGTTTAAAGCCTTAGAGATAGATGCAGGCCAGAGTGCCTGAGAAGTGGTATTCGTGGCTACTGAATGGGACTTGGGAAGCATAGGACTTGTCTTTATGCCAATAAAGACTAAAGTCCTGAGTTGTGGTTGGTTTTAAAGCAAATAAGGCTGAAGAGGCCCAGGGCAGACCTAGTTCGGAGTGAGCATCCTGATCTATGAGTTAGTGTTGCTTCGGCATCTCTCCTTGTGTGTGGGGGGGGCGGCTGGTCCTTGCTCCTCCCTGCCCCATCGGTACCACCCTTCGCCTCCGTCTTTGCGTAACTATATTAATAGAAGGAAACACTTCACATACTGGCGCTCAGTCTCAAAGAGAGTCTGGCAGCAGCTTGGCAGGTGGGAATGTAGCAGGGAGATGGGTGGGGAGTAGGCGGAGTATCGTTGAGTGGCGTTCGGAATAGCCAATGGAAGTTCGAAGCAGGGGCGTCAGGGGCGGAGGCTCTGAGGCTGTTTAGCCAATGGAGGGCGAGAAACTACTGGAACGACCTGGTGACGTGAGGAGCGTTCCATTCGGCCAGCGGTGGGCGGTAGCCACAGCTGGTTTAGGGCCCGGACCATTGGGGTCCCTTGTCAGGAGGAGGCAGCCTCCGGACCAGGGAGAAGTCGCTGCCACCCCTGGCGGTTGACGCGGTCCCCTGGGACAATCCACTTCCTGCTCTCAGTTGCGGCCGAGTTCGGTCTCCCTTGTTCAGGTAACAAGGGGGTGGGGGCAGGGGTCTCCTGGGCTCAGTTGCATGGTGGGCTGTGTCCCCTTCAGCTGCTCCGGGACGCTGGGACGTTGGCACCGCCCTTCTCAACTCGCCAGCCACAGAGCCCCTGGCCCGGGGTGACTACACGTGGCGGGGCGTGTGTGAGTGTGTACGAGCGTGTGGATGCGTGTGCGTGTGGATGTGGCGCGCGCCCCAACCTGCCTGGGGCGGTGGTCCGCTGCGTGGCGGAGGCAGGGCGGGCCTCCTGAGGCCGCGCCCGCCGCCCGGCCCCGGATTCGGGCCTCTTGCACTCAGCTGGTGGGCCGGTTGCTACTCCCTACAGATTTTGATTTTTGTTCTCCCAGGCCGTGTTCCCCTTCCTGGTCTCTCTTCTCTCTTTGGGTTGGTTCATGAGGGGATTGTTTTCCAGGTTAGTTTTACACAAAGGAAGTGTTCTCCGCACCTCTGGTGTCACCTCCCCTTTCCCAAGCCTCATACCTTCTCATTTTCCTGCTCAGCTTTTAGTCCCTTTTTGGACCTTTGCCCTCTCCAGTCCGGGAATGATCTCCAGTTGATTTCTCTCTAGTCAGTCGACTGCAGGCTTCCGCCTCATTCTTGCCAGCATGGGGCATGTGGTGTCAGTAAATAGAGGCCATAACTGCACACCTGAGAGAAAGATGACAATGACTGAGAAAGGCTAGGCCTGGGAATTCAGGATGCTTGGTAGAGATTGTACTTATAAAATGTCCCAGAAAGCGTCCTTATGACTCCTTATGACTTGTCTTAGTTGCTGTCCCCTCCTCCCATCATCAGTTGCCAACCATTCCAGAATCTCTCCTGCTTAAGTCAGTCTTTCACCTACAGCTCTCTAATGTGGTTTTATTAAGAGTTCCACAAATGTTAGGCTAGACCAGCAAGACTTTCATTTCCTGGACTCAGGAAGTTACAGAAGGTTTGATTAGGGGAAATCTGTTTTGTGTAAATACAATGTGTGTATGTGTACAGAGTGTCCAGAACCTCTTAGCCCTGCCAGAGGGTGACTTGTTCCTTGGTGTGATTCATATTTCAGTGGCTAATTGAAGAAAGAAGGTGAACAAGTGGAGGAGGGGAGGGAACAGCTCCTTAAGGACAGAAACTCTGCTATTATTTTTAGAGTCCTCTTAATGAAGATTAAAGAACATTGTGGTGTAATGGAGAGTGTGCTGGACTGGAAGTCAGTGGGCATGTTTTTTTTTATCTCAGCTTTGCTACTGTGTGACCCTGGATAAGTTATTTCCTTTCTCTGGTCCTCAGTTTATTAATTTATAAAATAGAGTAATTTGGATGGCCACTTACCAAATCCCCTCTAGTTCCAAGGTTCTGTGATTATCAAATCATCAACATTAGTTTGGAAACAGGATTTATTTAAGAAATACTAGCCCCTTCTTTTTCAGAGAACCTTTAATTATTTTTCTTTTTAGGGGATGAACAGATTAGAAATGAAATTTTCCCAATTCCCGATCCCCAGTCCTTCAGGCTGTGTTCATCTATCTGCCTCTGGGAAATGAGGGTTCAATTGCATTTTGTTATTCTTGTCTCATTTTCCCCTTTTTTTCTCATTGTTCTTAGGGCTACAAATTGGACTTTTGATGATGTTTGGCCCAGAGGAAGCAATAGCAGGCAACGTGATTTTAAAGCTGGGCTCAGCCTCCGTTTCTTCTCTTGTGTAGTCACAAACCCATTTTGGACCAGGAATTCCAATCATGTCTGTGATGGTGGTGAGAAAGAAGGTGACACGGAAATGGGAGAAACTCCCTGGCAGGAACACCTTTTGCTGTGATGGCCGCGTCATGATGGCCCGGCAAAAGGGCATCTTCTACTTGACCCTCTTCCTCATCCTAGGGACGTGTACACTCTTCTTCGCCTTTGAGTGAGTTTCCATTGCATAGAGTTGCTTGATTATGGTTATTTTTTTGTGTGTGTGGTACATGGGGATTGAACCCAGGGCCTCAGGCAGGCTAGGCAAGCACTCTACCACTTGAGACGTACCCCTAGCCCTTTTATTTGTATTTTATTTGTATTTTGTTTTTGAGACAGTCTTACCAACTTACCTGGGGTTAACCTCAAACTCTTGATCTTCCTGCCTCCATCTCTGGAGTAGCTGGGATTATAGGCTTGTACCATCAGGTCTGACTCTGATTACTTTGGGTCCAAGGGAAGAAGCTTCTTTCCTGGGAGTTTTTGGCTAGTCTGTGGATGATCCTCTTAAACAATGTCTGTGGGTCGGGTCACACTGAAGTCATTGCTTTGTGGTTATGGCAGAGTATATACTTCCTAAAAAGACCAAGACTTTTAATACCAGTTTTATAACACTGATTTGGGGCTATCCCTGAGAAATTTGGGAAGTATGAGGGAGTTTGTCTTAATTATCTCCTTTAAGTGACAGGAGCTTGTAACAAACTGCCTCCTTTTTATCCCTCCCAAGTCTAGGAGTACCCCTCACTGTTATAACATCCCTCAACAATACTCACTGTTATTTTTGGTCCTATTTCCTTAAGCCTTAGCTCTGAAAAGCTATTAAATTAAAAGGCCAACTGAATTGGGAACCAGTAGATTATTTCCAGCCTCATGTGTACCACAAATGAACTGTGGGCACATAGGTACTTTTTAAAAATGATTTGCTCTTTTTTTCCCCCTTAAAATCGCTTAATGTAAACGACTTTCTATTCTGTATATGCCTGATGCCAGCCTTGGAGTTATTTTTTTCTGTGATGCAATATCTAGTACTAGAGCCACTGTTTGAAGTCTGTGTAAGTGACTGATCTAGGGAGGCAGCCAGTTGAATTCTAGGGCACTGTGGCATGACTACTGTGTGTGCTGAGAATGCTCTACACTCTAGGGATGAGAGCAGTGCTAATTGTTTTGGGATTGCTGTAGGGAGAGCCTTGAGGAATCAAGAGATGTGTGTGTAGACTGACAGCCATACCTGATGTGAGCTTGCCATGGTTCATGTACATGGGTGACCTGGAAATAGAACTTCCATGCTGGGGAAGGGGCTCCTTGGCCAGGTTTTGTAGGTAATTAAAATGAGCTCTGGTCAATTGGGGCTCATTGTTGTCATTCTGTAAGAGATACAGGCTTTTCCAGTGTATCATAAGTGATTTTTGGGCTGTTTTGCCAGACTTTTTGATGGTTGCAACAGGCTTGAGTAACAGCAGGGGGAAGAGAGGCTTCTAGTTTGCCATGGCTGGCAAAATAAGGTCAGAGGAGCTCTTTGTTAAAGGTCCTTTTGCTGTTGCTGCTATTACTGTTGCTGTTGCTCCTGACTTTGTGGAGTATTTGGTGATATCAGGCAGGTTGCAGATTGTGAGTTGCTTTCCAGTATGAGTTATATGGCAAAGTGTGTGTGTGCTCGTGTGCATGCACCATGGGCTTGTGTGTGATATGAGTGAGCATATGTTGTCAGGCAGGCTTGTTTTCTTTCTCATCCCTGTTTCCAAGTTTTCCTTGCTTCATTACTGCATTGTTCTTATTGGATGTGCAAAGCTGAACTCTGCTTTCATTTACTTCCTTTACTCTTTTTGTCCCACCTCCCACATCTGTGGTTACATTTTTGTGATTGGAATCATTCATGACAAAGATGAGACTTGTTTCCAGGCTCTGAGTGAATTGGTAGTTCTGGGCCCAGGAAACCTCTGGTTTGACTGGCCAGGGGAACTTGGGATTTGGAGCTATTGCTGTTTGGCCCTTTTTGTATCTGGGAGCCATTGAGAGACTCTAGACTTGGGTCTGTTCCACTTAGGCCCCTGATGGCCTCTGAAGTAAACTACCCGTGGGATGAAGCTTATAATTAGCCAAATTATTATCTTTCTCTCTATAGATAGATAGATACATACATACATACATATACATCCATATTTATTTATTTGGCAGTGCTGGAGTTTGAACTCAGGGCCTTGTACTTGCTAGGCAGGCATTTTACCACTTGAGCCGTACCCCCAGCCCTTTTTGCTTTGTTATTTTTCAGGAAGGGTCTCACTTTTTTTTGTCTGTGTTGGCATAGACCATGATTCTCTAGCATAGCTGGGATTATAGGAGCGTACCATCATGGCCAACTTTTTTGTTCAGGTCTCGCTAACTTTTTACCCCAGCTAGCCTCAAAATTTGATCCTCCTGATACCCATCTCCCAGGTAGCTAGGATTACATGTGTGAGCCACTATGCCTGACCCAGCAAGTTACTATTTGACAGAGGCAGGTTGAGTTTTCTTCCAAGATGACCCTCCCCAAATTATTTCTTGGGTTTTGCCTGTAAATATGAAGGGTGAGGTTATTTGTAAAACTGCCCCAAGACAGTTCCAGGTGTCTGTTTGAAAGAGTAAATATTTTGAAGGGGGTAGGGGGAAAGAAGAAAATAAATGTATTAGTTTAGGAGTGGAATGGAGATGTATAAATCTGACCAAAGAAGAGAGGTAATGAATCCTTTTACTGAGAATAGTGAAATCTGTTTTTGAATATATGTGTATATGCATATCTGTCAGTTCTATGCAGACAGATGCTCTAGGTGGTGGCTGCCTTGTGCTTAAGCAATGACAGACTGTATAAGGCACAGAAGCGCACCTCTGAGGAATTAAGACTCGCTTTCTGGTCAACCTTTTACTTTGGAGTCTGTCATTTACTACTTACCACATAGTGGAGGATAGAATTTAGGGAACAGCCTATAGGCTACATTGCTAGTATTAGGACTCAGTGAGACCTCAGGAAATCAGCTGATCTAGCCTCCTGCCTTCAAACAGGTGAGGTGGTCTGAGTAGATGGATGGCTGTCTGTTTTCATCCTTAAATGTCCATGAGCATAGATTCCACATCCTCTGGCTGTTGCATTTTTTTCCTGGTGGGGAGATAGTCCAATCTTGAGACACATCTGGATTTGCATTTTAGCAACAGGGTCCTGCATGCAGCAGGTGCTTAGGAACAAGTGTGAGCTGATTCATGGCTGCCTTGTGGCATAGCTCTGGGTCATCCAGATGGCTTGAGAAGTCTGGTCAGGTATGTGGGTGCCCTTAATGAAAAACATGCAATGTTAGTGGTACCAGTGGGCAGCTTAGTATTTTTAGATTTTGTCTTTGTAAATCCAGACTTTTCAAAGGAGAGATCTGTAATTTCAGTGGACAGACTTATGTTGAATACATAAAGCAAAGCAAAGCAAAACAAAACAAAAAAGATTTTCCACCTGGGAGCAGTTAGCTCCAAATGGTTAGAAGTGTTTCTGAGGAAGTTGGATGACCTTTCCTCAGGGCTGCTGTCACAGAGTGGAAATTGGACTTTGTAGTCTCTAAGTCTGTTATAACACCGGATGTCTGAAATTCTGTATAACTCTTTCTATCTGGAAGAGTGAAATATACACAAAAGGAGAATGTAGATTATCAGTAGGTAGTTGTATTTAATATAATTGTATTCATGGTAAATGTATTTAAATTTAAAAGTGGAGAAAAAAATTGTACAATACTTAAAGAACAAGGATTTCCTAATTAATTCTGAGGGTAAGGTATTTAGGAAATGTAAATATGTATGTCAGTTTCAGCTTTGAGCACAGGAACCTTTTGTAGGCCTTTCTGCTCAAACCCTGTCCAGTTTGTATGGTGAACACACAGTCACAGTTTGATCTAGAATGTCAGAATGACACTTACAACCTGTGAGCTGTCTAGCTACTGAAAGGCTATTGTGGTATTTGGTCAAACTCAACTTCTTGACAAAGTGTGGTCCTCAGGAAAGGATCAAGCACACTGTCTTTTGGAGTTGACTTCCTAGTTTTCTCTTTTAACTTTGTGACCAGACATCTAGTTAGGTCATGATCCTCAGACTTTTCTTGTGGCAAGGATGACTGTGTGACTCTTGACCCCTAAATAGAAGTAGCTTGAAGCTATGTTCAGCATTTATGCTCTCACAATGCTGTATGTGGAGGAAATCATATCAAGGCACCGTCAGACCAGTTTCTGGCTGATCCCTATGGGTGCTGTTGATGTGTGTATTGGCAGAGAATTAGATGAACTGAATAAGGTTTTATAGCAGTATTTGGTAATTTTATTACTTCTCCCAGTCCATCCAAATTCTGCCCCTCTTTCAAGTTCTTTTAATTGAATATATCATTCATTGTAACAAATAACCACATATCATTTATTTTTTCTTAGTGTATATTAATTGTACAAAGGAGTTTCTCCATGGTATTTCACACACTTACATACTTTGTTAAGATTAAACACCTCTTTTCCCTGTCCTTCCCCATTTTTCAACACCTTTCAGTGGGTTTCCTTATGCCATCTCTATACATAGACACAATCTATTTTGATATTGATTATTCCCCATCATTCTTTTCTTCTCCACCCTCTGTCTCATCCTTGAAACAGTCCCTCAATTACAATCATATTATAGATGCATGCATGTGTGTATTCTTATATTGTAGTGGTGAGTATAATTTTTAATTATCCTTCACAGCCAAGGGCAAGCTTTTTTAGGTTCAGGGGCTATCTACTAAGTCTGTAGTCTCCTTGATGTTCTCCACCAGGCCTTACATAGAGTAGGTAGTCATAAGTGTTGCTGAAAAAATACATTTTTGGATGCACTTAAAATCTAACAGTCTCGACTCACAGAATCACAGGATGGTAGAGATGTAAAGGGTTTAAAGACTCTTAGTCTTTTTGTGGGTGAGGAAGCCAGGCCCACAGAAGTGAGATTACTTCTTCAAGATCTGTTGACTAGCAGTGTCTCTATAGGAAACTACCTTTTATCTCATTGGCACCTTTTGTCTATGGCATCCCAAAGACATTCAAATTACTAAAGCTGTGCCTAGTGCCAAATGCTTGACTAGCATATTCTGGGTTCTTTCTAGCTAGTGTGTGTGTTACCTTGGTTATTTGATCTCCTAAGTTCATG